CAGTTCTACAACAGCTTTATACCACAAAAACATTTGCCTAATTAATTCGTCGAACTTAAAAATATGCTACGACCTATTAAATACAAAATTAGAAAATTAAAAGATTTATCATACACAATTAAAAGATTTATCATACACATATTTGTTTTTAAAGTTAATGAACTTATCAAACATACAAAAGAAAGATTATGAATATATTACACACTTTTTAAAGTTCAAGATCTTATTGGATACATAATTGAAAGTTTAAGAACCTTTTAGACATTTTTTTGAAAGGCCCGCGACCAATAAATACAAACCTAAAAATTTAGGAACTAAACTAAATATCTCTAACGGCCTCCCATACGCAAGTTTCACACAGGTTCATGGACTTTTAGAAGCTATTCTTGTGCTTGTAAAAATTACTCTTCACTTTTACGAAGGTTTTAAGACTATTCTTGAAATATAAATATTTTAGAATTTAAGACAGGCCAATATATTCTATAAAGAATTATTGAATAAAAGCCAAAAACCAAACTGTTTTACCTAATTCAGAAGCAGAATTGCAAATTTCTTCTGCAATGCGATCGTGCAATGACACCCCAAGTTGATAGTGGGGAAGGAAGTTTTCCCTATTTTCTTCGCGACTCCATAACTCCATTCGGCAGCTGGCCATCTGTAGAACCGAAAGCGCTTTCTGTCCATATGATCCTATCGCAGACTCCCCAGATAACATTAATGCATCAGCATACTGTCGGACAGCCTCCGAAACATCTGCAACCTATTCAACACCCCACCAAAATGGATCATCATTATAGTCTTCAACATTTTGAAAATCATTCCAAACATGCCTGAAATTAGAAACCGAAGATAAATTTTTCATACCTCAGCTCGTGTTGGAGTAGGATATTCAACCATCGACTCTAGAAGTTGGGAAGCTATGATCACTGGTTTGTTCAGTTCCCTACAAACACTAGTTATTTCCTCTTGGATTGCTGGTATCTGCTCCAGCGGAATTTCAACCCCAAGATCTCCTCGAGCCACCATGATTCCATCAGAGGCCTCTATAATTTCTTCCAGATTCTGAAGAGACTCCAAGCTTTCAATCTTAGCCAATACCCTTACGGATCTGTGCATGAAAACAGATTTCCCCCTTCATCACTAAATTGAGTTATGAAATTACCCAAAATATCTGTTTCAGTAGCAATATTTTGCCGGAAATTTTTATGGAAAAGAATGTCTCTATAATTTATCGTTCATGCATAGTAGTGGTAGTGATAGTGATAGTGATAGTTCAACCCAATTCATGGTAAAAGTTGACTTCTTATGCTTACTTTGCTGATTTTGTTGATAGGTAGTTCTTTAGATGCTTGACAGGATCAGCACCGTTCACGAAGGAAAGGGCAATGAAGTTGACGCCTTCCGCAATGCCAAATTCAATGTCCGACCAATCCTGTAATACACCATGAAAAAACAGGGTTTAAACGCAGAGATCCGGCATCATCCAAGAAGACATGATTAATTGAATTCTTTTACTCATGTTTATGCATTAATATGAAAAGGCCAATCAATAAAATACATCATATCTTAAAGTTTCAACTTCATAAATGTAACACCCAAACCCACCGCTAGTAGATATTGTTCGCTTTGGCCCGTTATGTATCACTATCAGGCTCACGGTTCTAAAACGCGTCTACTAGAAAGAGGTTTCTACACCCTTACAAGGAATACTTTTGAGGTTTCTACACCCTTACAAGGAATACTTTGTTCCCCTCTCCAACCGATGTGGAATCTCACCATCCACTTCTTGGGGGCCAACGTCCTTGTTGGCACACCACCGGGTGTTTGGCTCTAATACCATTTGTAACAGTCCAAACCCACCGCTAGCAGATATTGTCCGCTTTTGCCCGTTCGTATCGCCGTCAACCTCATGGTTTTAAAATGTGTTTACTAGAGAGAGGTTTCCCTTCTCCAACTGATGTGGAATCTCACAATCCACTCCCATTGGTAGCCCAACGTCCTTGTTAGCACACCGCTCAGTATTTGGCTCTGATACCATTCGCAACAGCCCAAATCCACTGCTAGTAGATATTGTCTGCTTTAGCCCATTATATATCGTCATCAAATTCACGGTTTTAAAACGTGTCTACTAGGGAGAGATTTTCTCCCCTTATAAGAAATGTTTCGTTCTCATCGCCAAGATGAAATCTCACACTAAAATCAACTCACATATTTCATTACAACTAAATTTCTCAGAATGAGTATTGATATGCAGCAGAGACACGTTCCTACCTTACTCGACAGCGTTGGAGACTCGTGATTTCTCACAACAACCCTCCCATCTCTCCAAAAGCTGTACTTTGCTCGAGGAAGAAACAAACCAGGGTCTGTGCACTTGCAGCTTAAATCATTCCCAATCTTTTCAATAACCTCAAAGGTTGCCATTCCTCCATCAATTACAACTGAATCACCCACTTGAATACCTGCCCAAACTCGTAAAAGAAAGCTCATCAACATCAAACTCATATTCTAAGTAACTTGTGGGATTCAAATATTTCTTCTAATCACAATTCAGAAGACGAAGAAACAAGAGATTCAAGACACACCTTCAGAGAAACCTTCATAGCTCGCTTGAACAGTGAATGAACGATAGCCCTCAAATTTCTCAGCAGTAAACAACCAGATTGAACCATCCTGAACAATTATCGCCAGAAAATTTAGACTCAGTGTTCTTAATTTACAGAAGAAAACAGTGAACATAGTAACATATTTCAGTTAAATAGCAGCAAAAAATAACAGAGACATAACATTTACCTCTACTTTTATGGAGGAAGGAGCTCCATGATCAACCACATGAATCTGACTCCCTTCAGTATCGATCATCACCGAAATACAGAATCCTTTCCCCTCATTTAACTTCTTGATCTTCCTAATCACATCGCAATGCCACTCTCTCGAATTGTGGCACATATTCAATCTCGCAATGTTCATACCTTCCAATGCCAACTTCTCCAGATCCTCAATCGCACTACACGCAGGGCCAATAGTACATACAAGCTTCGTCTTCCTCATCCCTAAAAATCCTTTCTCCTTCAACTCCCTTTCCGCTACAACATCAAGCCCTAATGTCGCTTCTAAGCCCTCCAATCTTCTCAATCTCTCCGCATCCTCCAAATCCACTTGCATTACCGCTTTCACCCCATTTCCAACTCTCCCCGACGTCCTCCTTCGATTGCACCAAACTGTTCGACCGAAAACCGGTATGCCAAAACCCGAACGCTTCACATCTAATACAGGCTTTTTCGCAACAAAATTGCAACCAGCACGAATCATCATAGCATTTACCTCCGCCATTGACAAAGAGCAACAAAAGAAAAAAGCTCAGCAGCTATCTTCGTCCTTCTTTAGCAACAGGCCTTTGATAGCCTTCGAATAGTATTGTCCGCCGAGTTTGGACCAGCGGTAACGAACAGTGGTGGATTTGACAAGAAAAGCAGAAGAAGAATATTCGGCGAGAAGATTTATTGCGTAAAACCCTAATATAGTTGTAAATCTTGAAGACTTTTGGCGCTCTGTTAGGTGCTGATCAATATTAATTAATTTAAACTTACCGGTCAACTAACTTTCCCGGCGTTTTGTCTGATTCTGCCACGTGGCGGCCGGCCACTGTTGCCTGCAGTTTTGTCTTATGCCGTAACCTTCTTGCCTTTTCTTTTCTTTTTTGAAATTTTTTGAATTTTCGAAAATGTTAAACATGTTTTTCTTATTTAATTTTAATTATAATAATACCTTCATTTCTATTATGATTTTGCCACGCAATAATGTTTTCAAAATACATTAACGACTAATAAAATAGTTTTTAAAATGTTTTATTATTATTATTTTTTAATTCAAATGCTTTTATTCAGAGGAATAAAATTTAAAAAATAAATACAAAATTTTAGATAAAAAGTAATTATCAATAAAAACATATATGGGGAGTGGACAAAGATGTACGGAAGGCATATGCAAGACCCACCAATATAAATGCTTTGGTGGTAGACAGCTCACAGCTCGAGATGTCTCCTTTGATAACTTAATCAAAATTGTTTTTTATAAATTCGTGATTCGAATTGCTCTCCAAGATAGTTTGATCATAACTACTTAAAATATGATAGAATGGAAATCTAAACCTAAGAATTGCAAATGAATAAAGCTTAAGAACCATGATATGCAACTTTCATTTTAAAATCAACGAACTAAAGCAATTTAATTTTCCTGTTCAACACATTGTGAAAGATGGAGTTAATCCTGAGAAGTTATGTGGGTAATTTGTACTGCAGTATTATACAGAAAATATGAAAATTTGGTCAGACAACAAAAACAGGATTCTGTAGAGAAAAAACAAGATAGAGCAAGACTTAATAAGCTGTTTCCCGACTAGCCCTGTAATAGGATTCACCCAGCGGATGATACAGTAACCGAAGGAAGTTCCACTAAGCCTTCGGTATTGGTGCACAGTGGATGGTGCCTTACTCCTCTGATGTCTGAGAGGAGAGCAAAGTCAATCACATCAGAGTCTACACTTATCGAGCCTCAGATATTAAGTAAACCACTACGAAAACCTTCACATTTGAGGGTTGATAAGACGACAAGTGTCTTTCGTAAGTAGTAAGGGAAGAGCTTATTGAATGCTAAACGTCAAACCTCAGTATCTCTACCCCGCCCTGCATGAGGATTAATGCAGTAACCGAAGGAAATGCCACTACGCCTTCGGTGTTGGCGCACAGTGGAGGGTGCCTGCACTCTTAAATCAATAACCTATTCCTACCCAATTCAAATGTTGTAACTCTCCTGCTCATCAATACCACGATAATCTATAATTTTAAATTTTAAAATTAAAAAATAAATTAAAATTCTCTGTATCCAAATATATCTGGTATATTCTTATCGTCTACCATAGAGTCTGTGTGACATAATTATTTCATATAGAAATATAATAAAAAGTTGTTCAAATATTGAATCTCTGTATAAGCACAAAATACTCTCAAATTTCAGCAATTTGGTGTGCATTGCTTTCTAATTCTAACTACTATTGTCTTTGCTTTCGAGGAGTTTTATCATAACATTTGACTCGAGGTTAAATGTATGCACAAAAACACTCCAAATTTTAACATATAAGCACGTTTTTTCATTTAATACACGAATCAACTATTATTGTGTCGATTTCTAATCCTACTAGAGCGTCTGACCGGAGTCACGATCTCTTCGTCTCCATTTTTCTGCAAAAAAAAAAAAAAAAAAAAAAAACGAGGCAATTGCCACGCTGATTAGAAACAAAAATTCCAAAATTTCAAAATTTTCAAAAATTTTATTAGTTATTATTGTACTATTTAAATTTCAACCGTTATAAATATAGTTTCTATTTAAAAAATAAAATAAATTATTATAATTAAAAAAAGTACTCTATATCATTTTCATTTTCAAATCTAAAAACATTAAAATAATAATAATAATTTAAATCACTAATTTAAGGGAAAAAAGGAAAAAAAAAAAAAAGAAAAAAAAAAGGTAAGTTTTGAGATACTCACATGCTTGATTGGGATCTTCTCATAAGTTGTGAAACGCCCATAAGATGGAGAAGCCGAAGAGGACACTGAGTATTCATCCAAAGAAGAAGAAGCCATAGATTCTCTTCGTGAATTCTCCATTCTAATCTTCCTCCTCCCATGGCTATGGCTCTGAACTTCACTCGATCTCGTCGCTGCTTCAGCGATAGATTCTCTTCTTGAATTCTCCCTCCTCACATGGCTATGGCTTTGAAATTCACTCGATCTTTTCGCTGCTTCTGTTTCTCCTTCTCTCACGCTGCTGTACTGGAAAAAACTACTCGTTTCAGAAGAGCAAAATTCTCCAGCCATATCATCGTCATCATCATCCAGTGCATCTTCTTCTTCTTCCTCTTCCACCAGACTCTGGTTTGTCTTCTTATCTTTCAGCAATGGCTCCTCTTGCTGCTCTTCAGCAATGGCCGCTGTGGATGTTGTTCGTCTTGAGCCTGATTTTCTTGCATAAATCAGTCCTGCAGGTATAATAAGAAATAATCCTAGCAGTATTGCAGATATTATTGCAGCCGTGTTCTGTGTGAAATCACGAGAGATTCCGGTGGCTGTTCTGATGAGATCGACGATTTTGCCGCCATTTTCTTCTTCAACATCAGATTGATGTTCAGATGGAGGAGAAGAAACTGGAGGTGACTGGTATTGAAATTCTGTGTTCGTTTCTTCCTGTGTTTCCTCTGTTGCTGCTGCTTGTTCAATTTCATAATGTGTTTCCCCTGTTGCTGCTGCTTGTTCAATTTCATAATGTGTTTCCCCTGTTGCTGCTGCTTGTTCAATTTCATAATGTGTTTCCCCTGTTGCTGCTGCTTGTTCAATTTGACCATGTAATTTAAAATCAGACGATGAAGAAGCTTTGAAATTCTCTACGGTTTTCTCTTGAACGGATTCTTCTTCAACGATTTCTAGTAATGATTCTTCAGAAGCCTCGTCATTCTCTTCTTCTCTGTCTTTCTGATCATTGGCTTTGGCTTCAGTCTTTTGAAACGGTTCTTCTTCTACTTCTTCGTTCTGAGATTCTCTTTCAACTGTTTCGATTCCAATTTCTCTCTCCTTCATGGCTTCGGTATCTTGTGCTTCTTCTTGCTGTTCTTGTCCCTCTATATTCTGACCTTCTCCCTCAATATGTTCAATGATTTCTTGTAATGATTCTTCAGAAGCCTCGTCATTCTCTTTTTCACTGTTTTCTGAATCATTGGTTCTCGCCTCAATCTCTTGAAACGACTGTTCTTCTACTTCTTCATTCTGAGATTCTCTTTCAACAGTTTGGATGCCAATTTCTTTCACCTTTATGGCTTCCTCTTGTGCATCTTCTTCTTGTTCTTGTCCCTCTTTATTCTGACCTTCTCTGTCCTTCATGGCTTCCATTGCATTCATCAAATTGTTTTCTTCTTCCCACACGTTCTGATGAGACAATACAAGACACTGTTCATCCTTATTGACATCTCCGTAGAAAAACTCAGTTTGGTTCAGATGTATCAATGGCGGCCCTCCTCTGAAGTTGAAAACCACATCAGAAATAAAAGAGATGGAATTCGCATGCCAAATCTCAAGTTTCCCAACCAACACATTGAAATTCGTTTTAGCAGACGCGAAAATTTCAGACTGATCCCCCATTGTTAACAAGGTTGATCTTTCGAAGATAGTTGGATCATGGACATTCACAACACAAATCGACAAGCAAGCAGTAAACAAAATCAAAAGCAGAGAACTGATCTTGAATATCCTAGACAACAGAGGCTTCGACGACTTTTTAACTTCCGTGGGGCCTTGTTCAGAAACATCAACCTCTTCTTCTTTTTCTTCTTCTTTCATCTGCGATTCATTGGAAGAAACTTCATCAGATTCCTTCTGTGGATCTTCACAGTCAGTCTCCTCCGAAGTGGAAAAGAGTTCCTCAAATCTACCGTCTGGTCGATTGATTCTTCGGTTTGGGTTGTAATGGAGGAACTGTGGCCTTGGCGACAGATAATTAGTTTTAGGATCATAAGGAGTGATTATGGGATCAGCATCCATAGGTGCTATCATTGGAGAAGAAACTGGACTGATGTTAAAACTTGGGTCAAGATTAACACAATCCACTTCTTCAGTAAAATTACTGTTAACCGAAGACTCTAAAGCGTTGTTCGAGACAGCTTCCAAATCAGAAAATCTCATAATCTTTGAAGCTTCGGGAGTTACAGCTGCAATGTCGGAATCTGAAATCGGACCGATTTCAGGCTCTGCATCGGCCTCGACTGCCACTGTTACAGCTTCTGGGTTCGGATCGTGTCCATGTCGGTATGTGGATTCTGAATCGTCATAGGAATCAGAAATAACCTCAAAACCACCGAATGTCACAGTTTTAGAAGATTTGGAAGATGCTGCTGCAATGGCAGATTTAGCAATCGGAACAATTCCAGACTTCGAATCGGTTACAGCTGCTATTGTTACCAACTCCGGGTTCAAATTATATCGGTAAGCAGATTCTGAATCCTCGTACGAACCAGAAATGACCTCAACACCACCGAATCTCACTGTTTTTGTTGATTTAGGATTTGAAATTAGAGGCATTGGAGGGTTCGTATCGGATTCAAATGCCATTGACGCCTCAGGAGTTGGATTCACCGAGTTGAGTGAAGAGCTTTTCATGCCGGAAAATGAAAGAGACGACCGAACTGGCTCGTTCCGATCGCCCAGAATCTTCTTCTTCGGAGAGACGGCAATCTTGGAGGCAGCGGAAATTGTAGACGACATGAAATTCTTCATCGATTTTCCGACCGTCGGCGAACGGACTCGGGTGAGTTTTGGACTCTGATCTTTCCCATTTTCTTTATCCTCATTGTCTCGAGAAGTAAATAAAATTTCTCTGCTCACAGAATTCCTTTGTGGAGGATAATCTGCAACTTTTATTCAAAGAAACAAATAAGAACAAAGATCGCAGAAACGTTGGAGATGGAAATCATCATGTTTAGAAGAACAAAGAAGGAAGGGATTATATCGATGGAAGAATCGAAATGGCTATGCTAGTGAGCACCAGAGATTCTTTTATTCTGTAACCCTAACCCTAATAAATTTTCTCATCCAATTTCTCGGCAACCAAACAAATTTCCAGTTCTAAAGGAAGAAACCAAGCAAGGAGAGAGCAAAATCAGAGCAAAACATAAAGGAAAAGCAGATATTCTAAGCCACTTTCCCAGCAACCAAACAGAATTAAACCACTCTAAGATCACAGGAAAGAAACTAAGCATGAAGAAAACTCAAACAAACCGGATGGATTATTCGCCGGAGTGATCGGATTCAAGCTTTTCAAACTGGTGGCGATCGACGGCTTCGAAAACGGATTACTGGAGAAGCTCCGGTAGACAGGGTTGCTGATTTCGGAATTTCTAGAAATAGGGCTTGTTCTTCCGGTCACCATCGACGGTGAAGATGATCTGTTAGACGGCAGCGCCATTAAAATGGATTTGGGTGAAGATTTCAGATATAAAGGAAAAGAGAAATTTGAGAGATTCAAATTGGATCAGAAATGAAATGTCGGCGAAATTATTTAAGGGGAGAGAGAGGGGGTTTTGGTGAAGATGATTCCTTGGCTTCTTGGTTAGTAACGGCTAGTTTTCAAATTTAATGAAGGGATCTTCTGGAATTTTAAAAATAGAGGGTTTTGTATTGGACCGTTGGAGTTGCGAAGAATAGGTAAGCAAGCGTGCGAATTTGGGAAGGAATAGAAGCGTTTATAGCCGTTGGATCGATATCTACGGATTGAGTAGATCCATGCATGTAGCCGTTGACAGAATTTTCCTTCCGCCCATGTTTTTTTTTTAAAAAATAATTTCCCTTCCATGTTGATTATAATTTATTTCAAAAGGAAAAAAAAAATTAATTAATATACCACTATCGTTGATATACTTTTTATAAATCTTATAATTAATTATTTTAAGTTTAATTATACAAAAATAATAATTTCAATGCCCGAAAATAATGGTGCATGTCTTAAAAAAAAATGTACAAAGTGATGATAATATATATTTTTTAGTGAGTTTTTTTTGTGATTTTGTTTTTATTTTATTTATTCGTTGTTAGCAAATTTAGCTGAGAACAAGGTAGACTTATATTTGAGATTTAATTTACGCACAAATAATTTTGAATACATTTGACTTTATATTGCTGACGTAAAACCTACAAGTGCATTAAATTAAAAAATCGTTTAAAATCCTCTCGATAGAAATTATCAAATCATTACCAATAAGAATTCTTAGTAGAACTATCCTATATTAACTTTAATATTAATTTATTTTTATTCACTAGGTTTATGTTAAATTATAAAATTAATTTTGTGATTTAAAAAATGAAATAAATTATTTAGGCAAATTACCAAACCTAATAAAAAATTTATGATAAATTTTAATTTTCTCTAATAGGGATCAAATTTATAATTTAATCTTATTTTAATATCGTCGAACTCGATCCGTAGTGAACAACGTCATGATATTATCTTTGAGGGAAATTTATAAAAATGTTAAAATACTATTATAGTCCATGTCTAGTTCTATCCTAATTCAACAATATATATAAATATAAAAAGCGCCAAATCCCTTTAGTGTTTCATTTCATCCACTCGCAGTCTTTTTCACCTCGACCTTCCTCCCTCCATTTTTAGAATCCTTAATCCCTGCACAGCTCCGTTCATCGCCTCCACCAATCTTCCATTACATCACCTTACAACCCTCCGCCATGTCCCGTTCTCTCCTTCGAGCTTTTCCTTTCTCCACTCTTCGCCCCAAGCCTCCTCAATTTCTCCCCATCTTCCACCACATTTCCCATCTCCGCCTTGTCAAATCCATTTCCAGAACTCGGAGATCGGTTTCCTCATTGTCAGCTTCCGCCGCCGAAACGCTCGTTCCCAGTTCGAATTCTCAGTTGCCTCTTAAAGACTCTTCAGTGGATCAATCTTACTGCCTTCTGCGGTGAATTGTCGGTTGACGATGTTGGGAAACGGGTTCGGCTGTGTGGTTGGGTCTCCTTGCATAGGGTTCACGGTGGTCTAACGTCTCTCAATCTTCGAGACCACAGTGGTATTGTTCAAGTGCTTATTTTTATGTGTTTTTGTTACTTCTGTTTGAATTCTTGGGACTGGCAAGTTCTAATGTTGTGAATTGGTTTTTACTGCTTGAATTAGGTGACTACGCTCCCCAACGAGTTTCCAGATGCTCATTCGACTATTAATGACTTGTGGCTTGAGTATGTTGTTGCTGTAGAAGGCACTGTACGGTCTCGGCCTGGCGATTCAGTTAATGTAAAAATGAAAACAGGCTTGATAGAGGTATGTAATAACTTTGATTTTATTTTACTGTTCATGTAGCCTGCCATTAGATTGGAAATGTTTTCAGTTTTCTCACTCAATAAATTATGCTCATGCTTGCCCTCTGTAGATGAACACGAGTCTCCACAATGGTATGATATTGTACACTTTGAGCATAAGCTCTCGTGGCTTTGCTTTGGGCTTCCCCAAAAGGTCTCATACCAATGTAGGTAGTATTCATTGATTATAAACTCATGATCATTCCCTAAATTAGCCGATGTGGGACTTTCATCATCATGGTCCCATGGCCATCTCCGAATGAACAAGAATTTTAAGCTAGATTTTGAATTTTCAAGTATTTAATCTCAGGCTTGAACCTAGTATGTTGGAGGAATTTCCGAACATCACAAGCCTTTGCAAAATAAATCATTCATTCTTGCTAAGAAACAATTCTGAGAGTTTCTGGTCACGGTTGTTAAAGATAGATCAGTCGAAGTGTTTAGTTCTTTTGGGTGTCCTGGAGTCGCCACATAAATGCTGCTTCTAGCATGGAACACTTGTTTTGGTTGCATGGTATATTTATCTCAACTTGAAGGCAAGAATTCTAAGGTTGTAGCCATTAAAGCACCCTTTTTAAAGGGGAAACTTCAGAATTTTTGAAGGAGGGGATATAGATCGGGTTTGTGGGATTTAGTTTTATGTTGTGAAAGGAACAAGCGAATTTTCAATGATAAGGCATCTCATTTTGATAATTTTATGGAAATCGTTCTTTGTCACACTCTTTATTGGTGTAAATCCTCACATCTCTTTAAGGATTAAAGTCTTTCTACTTCACTCACTTGTTGGAAATCTTTTTTGTATCTACCTATGGTGGAGCGAGCCCTTTTGTACATTTCATTCATCAATGAAATCAACATCAGTTCATAAACTTGTAGAGCATAATATTCATTCCCTTTTAAGACATTTCGTGCCAAAAGTTCATAAATGGAAATGGAGGTGTTGAGGGAGTGCAGTTAGGTCCACATATTTTATGTTTTTCTGTATTCACAGAATGCCTATTCTTTGAGGTGGTGAAGTTTTCATGTAACTAATTAAATTACCTTTTCCTCAAAAAAACAAGAAAAAAAAAAAAAAAAAAAAAAAAAAAAAAAAAGAAGAAGAAGAAGAAAGAAAAGAAAAAAAAAACAAAACATAATTGTTATTTCCCGACAAAGAAGATATCAAATATAACATAATTTTTTTTTTCATACAAAACGTACTTCATAGTTGTGTTTCTTTACCTTTGTTTGTTATATGGATTGTGTTTTTTTCATGGCTTGCAGGTCTGATTCAGTTTAAATGTGTATTTTGAAGCCAGGAACATTTTTTGCTTTGCCTCAAAGTCCACAGCTGTTTAAGCAAATGTTGATGGTGTCTGGTTTCGATAAATACTATCAAATAGCAAGGTACTAATATTTGTATCATCAAGCACCATTTCCATCATGTTTATCGTCTCATTTTGTGTTGATTTATTCTCTTTTCTTTCCAAAAAAAACTATATATGTATATGGAAAATTTGCCTATAGATTTAATGACTAGTATGATTGTTTTCATCAAACTTAGGAGCTAAGTTCTTTCTGCTTTTCCCTTTTGAGTTGTGAGAATCAGATGGCTGTTTTAAGTATGTAGCAGACATCATATTTTCACCTTCAGTTTCATATCCCTTCTTTGTAGGTGTTTCCGAGATGAAGACCTAAGAGCTGACCGACAACCTGAGTTTACACAACTTGATATGGAATTAGCATTTACAACTTTGGAAGACATGCTGAAGCTCAACGAAGATTTGATTAGAAAGGTAGACTCTGATGAGAATTGACTTGATGATTGAATGTTAGAATGCTTGTATCCATTATTATAGGTTGCACTGTTAAAATATTTTAAGAGAGGCAGAGGTAATTGCCACAAACTTTTGCTATCACCACCAAACTTTTAATAACTTATTGTCTGTAAGAGGTAGTAACTACATCCAAGAAGAGGAGAAAAGTTCAACTCCGTCGGGAGATTCAGGCATTCTAAGGGTCCAAGGCCTAAAATACCACTTTATTCATCTTTTGCCCTCCTATTTTTTGGCTGCTGATGGTAAAGAAAAAAAATTATATTTGTAGGTTTTTTGGGAAGTAAAAGGTGTTCAGCTGCCAAATCCTTTCCCGAAGCTTACTTATTCTGAAGCGATGAGTCGATATGGATCAGATAGGCCAGATACAAGATTTGATCTTCAATTGAAAGATGTAAACTTCTCTCCTTTCTACTTCTGGATCTAATTCTGACTTTCAAGATTAAGTTTTCAAATGAAGTTGTTTTTTTTATTGTGTAACGTATGTCTTGAACCAATGAGTGTGCATTGGAAGATGAAACCTTCTAGCTTTTGTTGTGCCTTAAAAGCAGTTTCCTATTGGTCCGACTTGTCAAAATTTTAATTATTTTGCATTACTTTGGAGAATATTCAGTACTTTTTTATCTGTTGAATCTCTTATCTTCTTTGCCGTTTTCTTCTTGTTTCATTGTTCATACAAGTCCGAATGACTTAAGGATTTATTAATATCTTCATTCAATTAAGTCTAATCGGATTGGCCTTTTCATAATATGGCTTTTTGGGTACTGTTTTTGGCATTTGGGCAGATTTGATTGGAAAAACTTTCATCATTCAACTGAACCACGTTGAGGCCTGAATCCATGAATTAAAAATTAAAAGAGATTTAGTCATTTGTATGAATTAAAGATTCCTTTGAATTAGCTAGTAATAGATTTTCTCTTTGGAGCTGCAGGTGTCTGATATTTTTGCAGATTCTTCATTTAAGGTTTTTGCAGACGCCTTGTCTAATGGCGGAATCATCTAAGTGCTGTGTGTGCCCTCCGGTGCCAAAAGGTATTCAAACACAGCTCTTAAAAGATTACCTTTTTTGAAAATTTTAGACGATGGTACTATTTCTTTTCTCTTCAAGATTTCCAATATGCCTAAAAGGTCGATCTTTGAGATCGAATCTGGGTCTTGTTCTTCGGGGAAATCTTTCAGGTGGCATTGAAGGGATTCCTTCCCTAGTATCAAGTTTGGATCCTGCAGGTAGAGAGGAGTTTCTAAGTAGATGCTCTGCTGGACCTGGTGATCTAGTCTTGTTTGCCGTGGGCCATCAAGTATCGGTTAATAAAACTCTCGATAGGCTTAGACTATACGTAGCTAATGAGTTGGGCTTGGTCGACCATGTAAGTTTGTGCCTTCTATATTTTGATTAGTTTTATGCTAAATGTTACTTTCCATTCTCACTTATTTATCGTTTCTGTCCATTTAGTCTAGGCATTCAATTTTGTGGATGACTGATTTCCCAATGTTTGAATGGAACGATCTAGAGCAACGACTTGAGGTTCGACTCGTATACCTACAGTGTATCTTGTGTAGCCTCACATTTTTGCCCTAGTTCGACTCATATACCTACAATGCAATTTTCTCTTTGGCAGGCTTTGCACCACCCTTTTACAGCTCCAAACCCTGAAGACATCGATGATTTACCCTCGGCTCGTGCCTTAGCATATGATATGGTTTACAATGGAGTAGAGGTAGCTACTATTACCCAGATTTTTTTAACTAAAAAACATGAGTATTCAAGCTTCCACTGTAATGGAAACATAAAATGGCCAAAATAAAAATAAAAAAACAAAAGGAGTCTATCTCTACTACAGCTTACTCTCCTCTCGACATTAGTACACTCTTCTCGAGTCGTACACCAAAAAACGTGCTCTCTTCTCGAGTTAAAATTGTGTTCATTGCTTTTGTTGCTGTAGATTGGTGGAGGGAGTTTGAGAATTCACAAACGTGAAGTTCAAGAGAAGGTTCTGGAGATTGTGGGAATCTCTCATGAACAGGTAAAAGATAAAAGGGTTTCATGGTTCATTAATTTGGTTTGGTCCCATTAATTTATGAGGCCGAACTGATTGGTTTGGTTCAGCTGGTCCAGGGAAGATATTATCATCTCCTTCAATATTATTAGTTTTTCTTGTTCTTTTCTGGCTTGGCAGGCAGAAGCGAAGTTTGGTTATTTATTGGAGGCACTAGACATGGGTGCACCCCCTCGTGGTATTAACTTTAAGTCATCCTTATTGTTTAAATGCATTTCAATCATGCCAGTACTAATAATATATTGAAATTTTTAATATTGGGTTGCCTATTTTGATACTAAATCTGGTTCTTTATTTATTTTTATAAGTTCTTTTAGGGGAGACTTGGAAAACTTTCTTAGGTTTTTTTTATTTTTGCATCTGATCTGACTTATGAGAGAATAAGATGAGGAAAGAACTTTCTTTTCAAGTGATTATGGCGAGTTTCTACTTGGTGTTTATGTTAGATTTATAGATTATTTGTCCAATTACGAAGTAGTTTACAATATTTATTCAACCTCTAGGAGACTAGGATTGGAAAATCAGCCAGGCGTGGGCCTTTCAGTAGGGCTTGAAATGACCATAGATATCTTTGAAGACCCCATGTGGAAGATTTAATGATCTAAATTGTTTGTTTGTCGAAAATTAGTGTAACAATCCAAGTCCACTATTAGCAGATATTGTCCGCTTTAGCTTGTTATGCGTTTTCTATGGAGAGGGTCTAGCCCTACTTCGACTGGTGCCTCACACCGGCTAGTGACTGGCTCTGATACCATTTGTAATTGTTCAAGCCCACTGCTAGCAGATATTGTTCTCTTTGGGCTTTCCCTCAAGGTTTTTAAAACGCGTCTACTAGGGAGAGGTTTTCAAACCTTTATAAAGAATGTTTCGTTTCCTTCTCCAACCGATGTGAGATCTCTCACTTAGTGGGTTGTAAGCATAATACAAAGTGGGTCCTCAAATACTTGGTTACCAAAAGAAAGAACGAAACAGAAAAAAGAAGTGCAAAATGAACCGACTAAATAGATGAACGGTGTATTTTATTCGGGATGATAATTGGTGCTTTTATCTCTACTATGACTTCTATTTCATATACATGACTAGTGGTCCTCATAGCCATTAATAATGTCTATTTCTTTTGTTTTAACCCTTTTTCCCCTTGGTGCAGGGGGCATTGCTTATGGGTTGGACAGATTAGTCATGTTATAGGCAGAGGCAAATTCCATTAGGGATGCCATAGCTTTCCCAAAGACAACAACAGCACAATGTGCCCTCACAAAAGCTCCTTCAGAAATAGATCCCCAACAACTCAAGGATTTATCATATCAGAACCAATAAGTTTACATTCAGGTGCTCGTCCAGTTTGGTTCGGTTCAACTTTTAAATTCTATATTCACCTCGCTCACCCGTAATTTTTCGACTCAATGGCCTTGCATATTTTGAATCCGTGTTAGAATGTGATGAACAATGAACACAAAATTTTTATAAGTTAACAAAGTCCATCAAATCCCGTTAACAGGATCGGAGTTCTTTAGTTAACCTAATTTAGTGATGGGCGTTTTAGTTTGATGTCATATACAGTATAGGTATAGAGTGCTGTGTTTGGCTGTTCCTTAATGTCTTTTAATTTGGTTGGGCCGTTTTTGGTGCTTGTGATTTTGGTGCAGACAGGCGATTATCGGTTGTCAAGCAAAAGGTTGAAGCATGTGGATAAGAAGATGGGTGTGCAGATTGCTTGGATTCTCTTACCATAAAAAGGTAAACAATAAAGAGAAATATTGAGGAATTAATTGTCTTGTCAGGATTTTTTAAATTATTGATTAACTAATAAATTACTAACGATACTATGATTTTCATTGCATTTAATTCCTCTTAAATCACTCTTCTTTTGTTCATTAATCTTTAAATTAAATTTGTTAAATTTTCAGTGAATTATAAGGTTTATATATATATATATATATATATATATATATATATATATGTATGTATGTATTCTAAAGTAGGTTAAATTTAGAAAATAATTAGATTAAATTACAAGTTTAGTGGATAAATTTTAAATTTTGAAATTTTAGAGTCTAAACTTTTAATTTTATGTCTAATAAATTTTGAACAAATTTAAAAAATTTAAGAATTAATTGATCTATTTATATATGTTTAATAGAATTCTAAAATGTCAATTTTGTATCTTGATAGTTAAATTTTATAAAATTATAAAATTTAAAAATTAAATAGACAAAAACTCTCTTTAAAGATTAAATTATTAATTTAACAAAATAATTAAGTCCAAACATTAAGAAAATATATGGGTCTCGCGAGTCATTTGTAGGTTTGAATTTGATGTAATATTCTACATAAAAAATAATTGTAGGTTTATATTTTTTTTAATCCTTTATTTTTCTTTTTTCTAATTTTTTTTAACAAAATATTTTGAACCCGTAAAATATAAAAAGAAAAATAAAGGATTAAAAGCTATTGCTAAAATTATTAAAAAAAAAATACCAACAAAAAGAAACCAAAGCATTAAAAATAGTAGTAAATAATTTACAATTATTGTAATTCAAAAAAAGGAAAAAATAAAATATTTAAAACATTATTTATTTATTTATTGGAGTTGATCTGACAGCTTGAGCTGTGCAAAAATAGTGTCGTACAAAATAAATTAATTAATTCTGGACGTGTCGTTCTGATCCTTAACGCAATCAGCGGGAGGGGCACTCAGAAGAACAGAACTCGCGACTTCAGAAAACGACACAACACATCCACAGACGACATGTCGACCTGAGTTGGGTGTCAGAGATCAAATCCCTCAACCCCCCCCCACCCCCCACCTTGAAGTGGGTCCCTGATACGTTGGATACTGACATGTGTGGGCCCCTTCCATACGTGGCAATAGTGAAAACGACAACATTTCTTGGTCGGATATGACGTGGTCGTATGGCAGCGTACGTGCGGAAGTCTTTAGCTAATGGCTTTTCCAGCTCATTTTCTTTTCAATTTATTTATTTATTTATTTATTTATTATAAATGTAATGTATATTCATTTTGCTTTAGAATCTCCCACCATATATTGTCCTTATTCATCCTCAGCTGCCAGGTCAAATCGCCTGATTTCTTCCCTCTGTGAGCTTGCTTCCTTCTTCCGCCACGTGTCCAACCATTTATTTTTTAATCATTATTTTATTAACATATTTAAATATATGGACATTAATTTTTTTTAATGCATAAAACCTAACCATCCTAATAATAATTAATACATATTGAAAATAACCAGAATAAAAAAAAATTAAAATTTGAAAATGATATTCCTTCCATTTAAAGAATATATATTTTATAAAGATAATTTTGTCATCAGGATCATATCATTCAATTCATATTAAAATTAACAGAGAGATGACCTTATTTGACGATATCCTTTTAATCATCGAGGCGGGGCTACACCCATATGGATTGAAATCATCTGATTCTCTATGAACTCTTTATGGAGCTTGAAAACGAGTTGCATTCCTTCGTTAATGACATACCTGATAAAAAACGTGAAAACTTCTAATAATATTATGTAAAAGGAAGACCCACTAATATACAACCTTTTAAACTATTTTTTTACCATATGGATATTGTATTATAAAAAAAATAAAAAATAAAAAAATATTTAGTCTTAATTAAATATTGAAGCTAGAAGAATTGGAAAAGAATAATTGACCCATTTTCCAAATATGGAGACTATTAAGATCATATAATTTAAACCTTTTCCTTAAATATTTATTTAAATAATGTTTTTGGAAAGAAAAAAAAAAGGGGGGGATTTTAGTGGGCTTGTGGGACCGACCTCACAGTAGCTCTGCTGTATCCGAAAACAGCCAGCTATGGCTTCCAGCCTGTTTCATCTTCACATCCTCAATACTCCCTTATTATCTTCAATCCCCTTCTTCTCTCTTCCCATTCACTTCTCGCCGGAGAACTCTCTCTCTTCACTCTAGCTTCTCCTCTTCTCCCGGCGTTCTCCGCCGGCACTGCCTAAATCGACTTCCTCATGGATCCCTGCCCTTTTCTTCGGGTTCTAGTCGGAAACTTAGCCCTCAAGTTTCCGGTCGCCGCCAAACCGTCTTTCTCCGGCGTGCATCCATCGAGTTCTCCGTGCTTTTGTAAAATTAAACTGAGCGATTTTCCGACGCAGTTCGCTACTGTTCCTCTCGTCGTCGACGGCGAAACTTCCGGCGCGAATAGTTCTTCTTCTGTACTTGCGGCCTGCTTCAGCCTCAATAAATCTCAGATTGAGAAGCTTGTTTCTAAGCGGAAAGATTTGTTAGTGAAGATTGAAGTCTACACCGGCCGCCTTGGTCCGGTTACTTGCGGCGGCGACCTCTTCGGAAGCTCCGCTAAGTTACTCGGCCGAATCGTTGTGCCGGTGACTGGTTCGAGTTTGTCAGAAACTAAACCGTGCGTGTTCCACAACGGATGGACCGGAATCCGTGGAGGCACAAAAGGTTACTCATCGGCTCAATTGCACTTGACGGTTCGCGCCGAGCAGGACCCGAGGTTCGTGTTTCGGTTCGACGGTGAACCGGAGTGCAGTCCTCAGGTTTTTCAGGTGCAAGGAAGTGTACAGCAACCGGTTTTTACTTGCAAATTCGGTTTTAGAAACGAACGTGATTGGGATCGTTCAAGGTGCGTTCACGAATCTTTCGTGATCTTCTGTTTGTTTCCCGAGAAAATGCAAGAAACGTGCGAAGAAAATTGACGAACAGAGAGAGAAAATTAATTCGTTCGTTTTTCTCTTACTGAATCTCGATTCGCTAAATCTTAATTGCAGGTCGTCAATTACTGAGCAAAGTAGCACCTCGAGGAGTTGGTTACCGAAGATCGGATCCGAGAGGGACCAATCGGCGAAAGAACGAAAAGGATGGTCCATAACGATCCACGATCTTTCCGGATCGCCGGTCGCCGCCGCGTCCATGGTGACACCATTCGTACCGTCGCCAGGTTCGCACCGTGTAAGCCGTTCAAATCCCGGCGCCTGGCTAATTCTCCGCCCGGTCGACGGTAGCTGGCACCCGTGGGGCCGCCTCGAGGCATGGCGGGAGAGCGGCGGCTCAGATTCAATCGGCTACCGATTCGAGCTCCTCCCGGCGACCTCCGCCGCCGCTACGTTAGCGAACTCCACCATAAGCTCGAGCAGCGGCGGGAAGTTCACGATCGATAAGACCGGCAGCGCGTCGCCAGTGATCAGCCCTAACGAAAGCTTCGACCTCGGGTCTGGATCAGGATCTCGACCCGGATCCGGGGATTTCGGGTACTTGACGGCGTATCAGTACAAAGGATTTGTGATGTCGACGAAGGTGGAAGGGATGAAGAAGAAGAATAGGAGGGCAGAGGTGGAAGTGGCGGTACAGCACGTGACTTGCACGGAGGACGCAGCGGTGTTTGTGGCGTTGGCGGCGGCGGTGGACCTGAGTATGGACGCCTGCAGGCTGTTCTCTCAGAAGCTAAGGAAGGAGCTGAGGCAATGAAAGGGCTTATTGTCGTTTCGCGTGAATGAGCTTGTCGTTTTGGAATTTCAGACATTTTTGAATTTTTATATATTCATTTTATTTTTCAATAGTTGAGTTGTATTTCTTGTACAGAGGGAGAGATCAATAGATGCACGATTCTTTTTCCACTTTTTGTAGTATTATATTATATTATATTATATTATTTATTTTATTTATTTTTGTAATATTATATAGCAAACCCATGAGAAGAATTGGAGGATTAAGAATCCTATGCATAAAAATAATCCATAAAAATGTCATGTTCATATCAAGATAATATATATAATAATAGATAATATAATATAGTTTCTAATCATAACTATCAAAGTATTAAACTTTATATTATAAAATATAATATAAAGTCTAATGCTTTAAAATATTTAGAAAGGTTTGAGAAACGTATTTACTATGCTGCAAAATAAAAAATCTTGACGTTCATTCGTGTTAACTGAGACTCGAACATATCCACACTGGTCCAGTTCATCCATCGTGTACGTTTCAATTTTCATTCAAAATTCTAAAACGTTTCTACGAGCCACCCACGTGCACATCCCTTCCTCCTATGGCTCATCTTCTGAGTATAAATTATCAAATTCTAAATTACAAGACAAACACTCAGCTTAATCATGGGCTCTCCTCTATAATTCAAATCCTCATTCTGCTGCAGTCTCTTCACTATTGTCATTCTCGATGTCTGGAAGCGTACCTAGATCCACCCGTTCGGTTACATGGGAGTCGTTACGAATCAAAACGATCGTCTTGAACTGGGTCCTCAATGTGGTTTGTCGAGTTGGAGGTATCATCGTTGGACTCGCCATTGTCTTCCGACTTGTTGTTATGAGTAGCTTCACTATTCTCCTCGGGTATCATGGTCGGTAAGACATTCTCTGGTTCGTTTGTTTTGTCATCTTTCTTCGTTTCGGATGTCTCGTCATCTGAAACAGTAAGATCTGGCTTACTCGTGATGTTTCGGGTCTCGCCTTCAACCTCATTTGGCTGAGATTCAGAGGTGCTGTTCTCCAAAACCTTGTCATTCATATCTGTGAGTATAGACTGAAGAGATGTTTCATTCTTAGCAGCCAAATTGTCTATGATTTCACTTTGAGTATGATTCAAATCAATTTCTGTTCCCTTCTGCTGAGAAGAATCTGCATTCTCTACATTACTTGTATCAGTAGTTGCAGAGGATGTATTATTGCTTGATTCAGGTTGATCATCGGATTGAGCGCTCGGGATGTTTTCGCTGAGCTTCACATCACTGAAATTCTCGTTCGTTGAAGTTTCATTGTTAGCCATTTCATCTACTTCCTCGGTTAACCGTGAACGAATCGCTTCGGTTTCATTTGATTCACTGTTCTGTTCTTTGTTATTCAGTTCTGCGTTCTCACTTGAACTTTCTAAACTCACGTCGTCTGTCGAGGTGGTAGAGTGGTCGTCATGGGCTACGGCACTAGATGCATCGTCCCCCTTGTAGTTTTCCTCCCGCGCCTCATGAGTGATCCGATCACCATTGTCGTTCTCCTGCTCATCAGAAGAATCCTCATCTCCTCCTGCCTCCTCATCACCATCTTCTTTCAATCTCTCATCGTCCGCATTCTCACCTTCATGATTGGATTCATTATCGGACTTCTCTCGATCATTCTCATTCATATCGTCATCGCCATCTCCTCTCCCATCATCATCCGTCTCCTCTTCATCTTCATGCTTGCTTCCTTCATCCTCCTCATCGACTGACTCGTTTTTCAGTTCTTCACGTCCCTCTTCTACCTCATGCTTCGAGTCTTCCTCCTCATCAACTGCCTCGTTTTTCAGTTCTTCACGTCCCTCTTCTACCTCATGCTTCGAGTCTTCCTCCTCATCGACTGCCTCGTTTTTCAATTCTTCATGTCCCTCTTCAACCTCATGCTTCGAGTCTTCCTCCTCATCGTCCTCTTGCTTCGAGTCGGGATGAACTTCCTCAACATGTGGATGAAGCTCTTTCCTTCCAAATTTCAAAACATCCCCCCCATCCCGAGTTCTTATCGCTATTTCATTATCTTTCTGGTCGAATCCTTTCTTCTTGTCATGGGAACGCTTCACCTGATAAACTAACCAAAAGCAAACACCAACCAACAGAACAATCTGCAGAATATGCTTTAATTTGATGCCTTTCGACCTGCTCCGACCCGGTAATTTCTTCAACATGATGAATTTCCCGAGTCGAAACCCTTATATTTTTACTTCTTTCGACAAAATAATCAAACGTCAGAAGCCTAGAAACATTCTTCTTTGAACAAGACTACACCAATAACAGAGGAGACAAAGAAAACAATGTGAGTGTTGCTAATTACATATCCAAAGGAATCTGATTCTGATTTGGCCCCTGCAACTAAGCTCAACTGAAGTAAAAGATTATCAATTTTAACTTATGAAATAAAGCAGAAAAGGAACACCAATTTTATAGCAAAGTCGTTTTTCTTCCACGAAAAATGTCTCTTGCATCTCTTCAACTCCCCTTTGAAACGAGAAACGAGACACTCGACACACTTCAGACTCTTTTCTTCTTTTAGATTTCTCAATAATCGAAAAAACGAGCAAAGAGTATCTGTGAGATCTCACATCGGTTGGAGGGGGAAACGAAGCATTTCTTATAAGAGTGTGAAAACCTCTCCCTAGCAGATACGTTTTAAAATTGTGAGGTTGACGACAATACGTAACGGGCCAAAGCGATGATATTTGTTAACGGTGGGCTTGAGCTGTTACAAATGATATTGGGCTCCCAAGAGATGGTGGATTGTGAAATCCCACATCGGTTGAAAAGGGAAACAAAAAATTCCTTATAAGAGTATGAAAATTGTGAGGTTGACGACGATACGTAACGAGCCAAAGTGGACAATATTCGCTAGCCGTGGGCTTGAGCTGTGTCACAATAGGCAACCAAGCTTTCTACATGCTTTATAGCTAAGCCATTGCAGTCAAAACTGCAATCTAACCATCCAAACTAAAGACTCTTTACTTCAACTGGAAAAGCAATTTTTGACCACCCCCCCCCCCCCCCCCCCCCCCCCCCCCCCCCCCCCCCCCCCCCCCCCCCCCCCCCCCCCCCCCCCCCCCCCCCNCCCCGCCCCGCCCCGCCCCGCCCCGCCCTGCCCAGCCCAGCCCAGCCTCACCCCGGCATCCAAGAAAACCATAGCCTTGCTTCCTCTTGGGTGCAAGCCAACGCCAAGGCTACAGTGGCAAGAGGCAAGAAACTTGTTGGATATTTACATCTAAGCAAGAAGACACAGAGTTTCAAAAGACATCTGAATTCACAACTTTCCAGTTTTACAGATTTTATAGGCTATCACAATCATGAGAGACTAACAATTACAATATGTAAAGTGCCTAATAAACCCTTACAACCACAATCCAATCTCTAAAGAAAACTTAACAATAATTCCTACATAAACCCTAACCGAAGGAGATAAGCAAAACACCAAAATCAGCCCCAAAACTCTTCCATCCACAAAGAAATGAAGCAAATAGAAGCAAAATTAAAAAATCTGAAACGAAATCAGTTCCAAGAAGAATCGAAAACTCGAAGGCTAAATAGTTCAGTAGGAAATTTGACGAGAACAGTAAAGCGTAAATAGTGAAGAACAGGGGGGCTGAAGCCAGAAGTACCTGGAAGAAGATGAATCAGAGCTAGCAATAATGGCGAGGAAGATGCGGCAATCAGAGCATCTTCACCGTTTCAACCATGGCGGGAGTCGGAGAGACTACGAAAGTTGGTGCAGTGGGAGAGAGATCGGACCCAATACCAAGAAACCGCAATTTTCTTCTTTAAAAAATTGAGGAAAAAGGATCAAATATTGTGAGGATGGAATTGCAATTTGCCTGACCTTCAAAAGCAAAACAACCGTGACCCATTACCCCATCCGCCATTAATTGGAGTTGTTGGCTGATTTAACTAAGAAAAAAGATGCATCAAAATGGAAATGTTCTAATTTTTATTTATTTATTATTATTATTATTATTATTATTATTTTTTGTGGAGTTTAATGAGAAGTAAGTATCCCATGTTCATGGATTTATGTTGGTGTTCAAATTTTCACCCTTTTTTTACTTTCCAGTTCCATTTCTTTTCATAGATGGCAAAAGTTTGTAATTAAGATTTACATTATCTGGAAAGAGTCTAATCCTACCGCTAACAGATATTATATTTTTTTAATTTTTCGTTCAAAGGATTTCTCTCAATATTTTAAAACGCGTTTGCTAGCTGGGTTTTGTGAATGGTTGGCTCGTTTCGAGATTTGTGCTCTATGAAGAGGGTGGTTGGTCGTGTGGTTTAGGTAGATGTACATGAACCCCATATTTGTATTTAAATATATTGAGTCATGAGCTTTGCAAATTATATCAGAGCCAATCATGGTGTGACAGTGAGGTCCCACATTAAATGAAAAATGAAACAAAACATGTCTTATAAAGGGCGAAAACTTCTTACAAGTAGACATGTGAGATTGACGGTGACATATAATGAACTAAAAGTTGACGATGATACATAACAGACTAAAGCAGACAATATCTACTAGATGTGACATCAAAATGTGATATGTTTGAATACTTATTTTGAGTTAGCGTAGACCGGGCAAATAACCTCCTCAAGCTCTATTGGGCTTATGGGACTTACTTAGTGGGCTAATCCAATCGACCCACTTGGTTCCACGATTATCTGGCCGAGTTTCAATTATTTGTCGAATTTATTTCTATTATATGAATGAATTATTAAATATTATTTGCCTTAAGTTTTGTTTTTAGTTAAAATCATTAAATCAAAGCTTAATTTGGAAGATACTCAAACTTTCTAACTCCTACACTAATTAATTACTCTTATTAAGCAATTAAATTACCATATACCTTTTCTTATTTATTTATTATTCTAGTTATACCCGACTCTTCAACAACCTTATCTATAACGCTCATGTCTACTCATTACTCCTATCTTACTTATGTCTCGTTTCCTCTTCAATGTACACATTATATGTGCTGGACGATGCACCGTTCTCTTCATTGGTCAAATGGGCGTCTCTTAAGTGTTACTGCTTTGCTTGACTCAACATGAGGGTCACAACCTACTCTCTTTATAATATGGTTGTGACATTCGATGACTATATATAATACTCGGGAGCTAACCCCAACCGCGCAACCGAAAAAACTATAAAATAAGAACAAAAAAACGGAAATACTCATAATAACAAAAGGAGGGAAGGAATCAATTAAAAACTTTAAAAAAGAAAGAAAAGAAAGACAACACATCTTACAAGGATTCTAACAACCAGCATTTTTGTTTGCTTTTCTCTAAAGATATTCTTTCTTAACAAAAACTTCTTTTCTTAGGCTTCTCAATGTTTTGTTTTACCATGTGGGCTTTACAAATCTTATATATATATCAATAGCTTCTTCATCTTTTTGTTATTAAGCAACCAAGCCATTGATCATTAGAGGAGAAAACAAAGCAATGTTTGAATGTGTTCAAACCATCATCTTTTTTGGAGTTTTCTTTGCATATTTGCTTCAATTTTCTTCTGCTTCTGTTGTTTCAACTGGGGACTATAATAAGGATTTCTTCGTTACGTGGTCTCCTTCCCACGTAAACACTTCGGTCGATGGCCGAGCAAGAAACTTGAAGCTTGATAATTATTCAGGTAAGGGCGTTCGAGAAACTTAATGACTTCAAAATTTTGTTCTAACTTTCTTTTTTCTTCCCTCGTTCTCTATTGTTATTGATCCTCCAAGTATACTTCGAGCAAATATTGTCCTCTTTTGGTTTTTCCTTTCGGGTTTTGGGCTTCCCTTCAAGGCTTTAAAACGCGCTAAGGAAGGTGGAAGCACTCTTATAAAGGATGTTTCACCCCCTTTGGGGCCTAGTGTCTTTATTGGCACATTGCCTCGTGTCTACCCCTCTTCGAGAGACAGCCTCCTCACTGACACATCGTCCGGTGTCTGGTTCTGATACCATTTGTAACGATCCAAGCCCACTGATAGCAGTTATTGTCCTCTTTGGACTTTCCTTTTCGGGCTTTCTCTCAAAGCTTCAAAACGTGTCTGCTAGGGAAAAGTTTTCATACCTTTACTAGAAGTGTTTCGTTCTCCTTCCCAACCAATGTGGGATTTTCACAGCTAGATATTAGGTTAAAATATCATTTGGATCTCTATGCTCGGAATAAAACGAGTTCTTATCGCACATGTGAAATTATTTTGATCTCAGTTAGACAAAGACGTAATAGTTTAAGATACTTTTGTGTGATTCATAGGAGCTGGTTTTGCATCAAATGAGATGTTCTTATTTGGTCAAATGGACATGAAGATCAAGCTAGTTCCAGGCCATTCTGCTGGCATAGTTGTGGCCTATTATGTAAGTGGTCTTGTTTTCATGTCTTTACATGATTTCTTTTTTTGATGTTTATGTGCAACATTATTTGATGAATTGTGTATATATACATAGCTGACGTCCGATCAACCAAACCACGACGAAATCGACTTCGAGTTCCTTGGTAATGTGGAAGGGCAGCCAATTATTCTTCAAACTAATATCTTTGCTGATGGGTTTGATGATAGGGAAGAAAGGATTAATTTGTGGTTTGATCCAACAAAAGACTTCCACACATACTCAATTCTGTGGAACCTTTACCAAATTGTGTAAGAAAATCACTCGGTTTCTCCATCTTAATTTTTTCTTCGTCTAAATTCATTACTAGCCGTCTCTTTTTTGCTTTCCTTCAAACTTTTTAAAATGAATCGGCTAGTGAGAAGTTTTCACACCCTTCTAAACAAATGTTTTGTTCTCCGCCCAACCAACGAAGGGTCTCACAATCCACCCCTCCTTCAAGGTTTAGCATCCTCGTTGACCCTTATACCCTTCTCCAATCGATATGGGACCCCCCAATCCATTACCCTTTGGGGCCAAGCGTCCTTGCTGGCATGCAACCTTGTGTCTTCTCTCCTTCGGGGCTCAGTCTCTTCGCTAGCACATCGTCTGGTATCTAGCTCTTATACCATTTGTAACAGCTTAAGCCCATCGCTAACAAATATTGTCTTATTTGGATTTTCCTTTCGAGTTTCCCTCCAGATTTTTAAAATCCGTGCTTGGATAATATAATTATTTCGCCGTCGAGAAGAAACATATCATAAATAAGACGATAGATTGACTTTTTTTTTTTTCTTTTTTTTTTGACAGGTTCATGGTGGATTGGGTGCCAATCAGGGTATACAGAAACCATGCAGACAAAGGGGTGGGGTACCCAAGGTGGCAACCAATGAGCCTAAAAGTGAGCCTATGGGACGGTAGCAGCTGGGCAACAAGGGGTGGAAAGGACAAAATTAATTGGTCAAAAGGGCCTTTTATTGCTTCTTTTGGGGACTATAAGCTTGATGCTTGTACTTGGAGAGGCAATGCAAGGTTTTGCAGAGGAGAAATTTCAAGCAAAAATTGGTGGAATTTGCCCAAATACAACACTTTATCATCTTCTCAAAGAAGGCTCTTCAAATGGGTCAGAAAGAACCATTTGGTTTATGATTATTGCCAAGACAATTCGAGGTTCCATAACCAACTTCCTAAGGAATGTTCTCTTCCGAAATACTAAATCAGTCCGATCAAACCCCACACCATTTTTCTTCCTTTTTTTTTTTTTTTTGTTCCGATCGAGTTTTTTATAGCCTGAAGCCAACAAATTTCTTATGAATGGACAAAATACTATGCATTAAACTATTTATTAAAATCTTAATGTTTAATATAGTTTCTTGATCTAGATGAGTCCAGACGAGACAAGCTTGGCCGATGGCTAAAGGAAAGTACTTTTTTTATTTTTTTATTTTATTTATTATTGATTTAGTTATAAAAAAACAGAGTTTGCATTTTTTTTTTTTTTTATTTGAACTTTTGATGAAATCACAAATCATTTACACCTCAATGGAAATAAATTATTGTGTTCAAAGAGCCTGCGGCTATGTTTTCACCATATGGGCCGCCTGAGTAAACCATGGCGCAGTCGTTCTTCCTTTGGTTGGCATAGGCGAGAGGTAGGCGGCAAGGGTGTCATTCCATGTCACGGGGCCCGACCTCCGCGCGAGCACGGTTGTGTAATGCAAGGTAGTCTTGGGGCGAGTTTTGAGCTTGGGTTTGGCTTAGGATTAAGAGCATGGCAGTGGCTAAGAAGATGGCCATGAGAAGGTTTTGAGTCCACATTTTGATGAAGATAGGGAGCGAAGGGAATGGTTTGAAGTAAATGTCAACAAAATTATATTCTAAACTATATACAACATGATTGTTTTATATAATTTAGAATATTTAAAACCTTATAACCAAAGTTGAGAATATAATTTGCAAAACAGGAAGAACGCTTCTCTTCAATCCTACCAAGTTTCAATAAATATGATCCAAGAGCACTTCTAACAGATCAAAAAAAAAAAAAAAAAAAAAAAAAAAATTTCAGGGTGTTAAGGAAAAATTATACTAACTTCTTATATCGTATAGATGCTGTATGAACATGTCGTTCCATGTGTCGGTGAGTCCCGGCAAGCACCAATGCATACAATCGTCGTGCTTCTTTCCACCAGCCGAGGCAGGATGTGCATCTGCCCTCAACTCACTCATGGGAGTTATGTTCAAAATATGGAAACTAGTTTCATTGAGGGCCTTGACGAGGTGCTTGTTTACGAGACGAACCTCGACATTGGTTCTGTTATTCCTCGGTGCGAACAGATCCTCAGCCTGCAAACAAAAACTACCTTTGATATGGGTTCTCATTTCTTTCAGGAGAATTCATGGAAGAGGCTCAAAATAATAAATTTAAGTCTAGCAGAGATTTTGTTAGAATATAGAAAAAAATGTCGATTCGCCACCTGTTGCGGAGATAGAGGTTGCTGCCGCTGGCAAGAACCACCTTGGTACCAATTACCTCCTTCAAAATGCCTAGGTGATTGCGTACGAAAGAATTTGATTGCACTGGGTGGCATTCTTTTCTCCACGTATGATATCTATAATGAAGAACAGATTATTCACCAAATGGTAAAGTAAAAATGAGATAAAGCACAATTCTTCCTCGTATGTTGTAGAATGTCAGTTCCTCGACAGAATACATTTCTACAGTAAAGATTGTTCATAATCAACACGTGAACAATGTCTCAAGTTTAGAATGAATGGTTGACAGATCGAAATGAAATCCAAGAGAAGAAATGAAAAAAATTATGTACCATATGTTTCAAAACCATGTCTAAGCCAATATCAGGAGGTACCGGAGGGATGACAGGCAGACCTTTCTCGAAAAACAACATGGGTGATTTTACAGGGTCAAATTTTGAAGGCGCCCACCACCTATTTGAAGCAAGCAAAGAAGTTCAAATTATCTATCAACAAAATGAAGGAAAACTTGATAGTTGATGAATTTGGATGGGAATGTTTATAAAAAACGAAGATTAAGAAAAAGGTGAACATAGTTTTTAACTACTAATACAAAATACCAACAGCACCCTGTTAGAATCAAATCTTCTTAATCAAAATATCCAACTATCCATATGGATAAAAACTCACTATGTGATATGAATCCAACCACTAATCAATTACATGTACCCGAAGGAGCAATTACAAGAAACAAGTCAAAAAAGATTTAAGTATCCAATCAAGAAAAGAATGGAGTGACAATAAATATCACTTGACATGGAAAAGTGATTCGAGGACTTTTTGTCTTTGGTAGTTGAACTACCATTTAAGACTATTTATGTCATGTCTTATTTTTTTCAATTTTAATCTAATAGTTTTATTGGTAGTTGGTAGTCGGTAGTTGAATTACCATTATGTTTGGATTATTTTTTTGGCCTATTTCAAGACATGTAATATTCAAGTTTGGAAATCATGGTAGAATATAAAAACCTTGTGTTTTCTTGAAATCCTACAAGTGTTATCCTTCTTTTTCAATCTTTGTTTTAGGTTTGAAGTAAAATCGATTAATTGGATTAGTGTTCATCAAGCTAATTCCTAATTCTTAGGAGTGAATCAATTTCAATTACAAAATTCTTGAGATTACCAGAATTTAGTCCTGTCACGATGCGGTTCTCATACACTATCAGACTTCTTCGTTATGCGAAGTTCCATGAAGTCCCCAATTTTAAATTGTATAATAAATAAACCATCGTTGTCATTCATAACATGATAACTGAAATGAATTGAAAAAACAAATGTACGTACCAATGTCCTGTGTTAAAGATCAAGATGTCATGAAAATTTGGAGCCTCTATCCATGAACTTTCTGGAATGTCAACATCAACTCTGTATCCTTCTTTATATCCCAGAGATTCCAATTTACCACCGTCAGCATTATCTGACCACCTGACTCAAATAGAAGCAGGAACAGATAATGTTAATTATTAACTGCCAGGATACTACTAAAAGACGGAAGTGCAGAGTACAATGCAAATGTGAGAAGTGAGAACCTAGCAAATTAACCAATCAGTGGCCTCAAATATAATTTTTCTTTTTCTTTTTCTTTTGTTAATGAACAAAGTTTTTCATAAAAGAATGACAGTGCAAAAGAAAGAGGGAGAGTCATTAACCCACTTCAGATCAAACTCAACTAAGACATTCTCCCAACATTTTTGAGCGAAAGAGCAAATTGAGAAAAATGGTAATCCTGACTTTCCTCATTTTCTTTGCTTCATTAAATTGAACCTACAAAATCCACTCTCTGAAAAAAGTGAAGATTTGATGATACCCCGAAATAGTTAATCCAAATTTGCAACTCCTACACATAACAATATTCTGTTCAAGAGCAATCCTAAGACCATTCAATCCCATCAGCTCTTCTCATCTCTACAGTTTTGGTTCTCTGTTGATGAACAATGAGATTGCCAATCCCAAAATGATGGAAAAAGGATAGACAATTTCGTGTAGATGCAACAGAGACAAGCTTGGCATTATGCATAGTATGGAAGGACCTAACAATTGCTAGGGGTGGATAATATCTTAATTCCTAAAAGATGAAAGGTGATGAAGTAACAGAGAAATTTGATGGTTACAATATGAGAATTGATGTTAAACGATAAATCAAAGTTTGATTGCTACTTACTTACCAAGCATATCGTGCCAGAATATTTGTTCTATGATATGCAATAGTAAGATTGTACTTCAGAAATGAGAATCCGCGATCTGCACCAGCTGGGCGCCACTTTTTCACTTCACCCGTCACATGTTTCAGAGAACAAAAGAGTGAAACAAACATGTTCCTATTTAAGGAGTCGCCAACAAACCCTGCACTGCATAACATTCATAAAGTTCATATCTATCATCTAGCACAATCATAGATACAAACTTATCAAATATAAAAGCATTCAATATGTCAAGAATATAGATAAAAGATCAAATATACCATAATATATTAACATGGTAATAAAGTAAGAGTAGAAGGTCCTGAATTTGAATTTCTACCTACTTTTCAAGCTCACCAATGGAAGTATTAAAAGTACGTATAAGAGTTTGAATATATCATGACCCGTCAGTTTCACCAGATACATTTTACTTTCCCCACTCGACCCATAGACCAATTCCATGTTAACTGTGAACTGAAATTATGATAAGAAATGTTTGTCGCTTCTACTACGAAAAGAGAATTTGGCAGTTTCAACTAGGCAACGCTCATGAACTTGTTACTATAAGCCTAGCACTTCGATTTCATGACAGTTAAACATAAACACAAAGCAAAACGCGGAAATAAGTTGCAGAATGGATAAAAGAGAGACCAAGCGAGTACCGATGTTAGTATTTCTAAACTTCTCAAGAAAGGAAACCGGATCAAAATGCGGAAGATCACATTGCTTCGGCTTCCAATGCCAATGAATGATTTTGAGAGCATTGGATTTGTTCGCCACATAGCAGTTCCAGCCTTTGAAAATCTCTTTGCAGGTGGGATTGTACCTGGAGGTTCTCAAATTCGGGTCGTGTAACCAACTTCCATCAGAATAATCGCACGAGCTGCCCCCAGCCGCGTCCGATATCCCGGATCTAACGCCATTGATGAATTGGAAGCTCTGATGCGGTTGTGGTGTCACGGAGGTTCTGCGGAATACCGAGAGAGCAAGAAAAATGGAAACGAAGCAGATAAGAGAGAGTAAGGGGGAAAGAGGAACTTGCTTCGCTTGGTGATGATGATGGTGGCTCTCCCTTCCCGCCATGGCCAGAGCCGGAGAATTCCATCTCTATTCACTAGCATTTTTATATATTTCTCATCGCAATTTTGAAATATTTATGAAAATTGAAAAAAAAAAAAAAAAATTATACTCTTTTTTTTATTTTATTTGGAGAACTTTTATTTTATTTTTCCCTTTCCCAATCTTATGTTTTTTTTTTTTTAACTTGAAATTATTCTCTAAGGTTGTTTTTGTCTAACATTTTATTTTTAATGAAAATTGCCCGTGAATTTTATTATTATTTTTTAGATCCACATACAAAACAATAAAAAGCATAATATTTAAATATGACGTTAATTATAATGGTCAAAATCGAGATACAATTAAATGATTCTGTCAGACATAATTGTTTAGGTAATATTTGAATATAATAATGTACCACAAATTAAACTAGAAAATAAAAATTGGATAATACCCTCGTGTTGAATAATCTTTACCATCAAACATCACAATCATAATGATATCTATATTTGAATATAATATGCGACTAGTTGTCAATTCTTACTACCAAATTTAGATACTATCAATCATTTTCTTTTTCTATTAATTGCTAGCTTATAACATTACTATCTCAAAATTGCTCTTTAAACGATTTTTAAAACTTTCTCCGACTCAATTTTCTAAAACTATTTTTAAAGAACGGGACAAGAGGCTTGAGCATAGGTTCACCAAAACATCGTGGATGAGGAATCCCCAAAGACAAACACATACATACATAATAATCTGAGATCTCAAATATCTGATTAAGAAAAATAATCCGTGGACATATCACATCTCAATTCATCTAATGATCCCAGCATGTGTAAAGAGAAACAGAGAGGAATTTCTGTCATTCAATCTATCTACCCCAAGAGAGGAATTGCTGCTCCTATAACTATCTATAATTCATCATACTGAAAAAGGCTACTTTTTTTCTAACAAAGTGAAATTCAGTGTGAGAGAGAAAAAAGAGAGCTGTTGAGCTATGACTCTATGAGCTTGTCCTGGGTTATATACAGAGCCTATAAATGTAACTTAAATATAGTTTGAAGTGAGATGCACCTTCTTCATTAAATAGCTCGACTTATGCAGAATTCAAACCGTTCTTCATGGAGCCCTGTAACCAACAAAACAGATGCATTGGAGAAATCCAACCCAGTAAGAATTCCCTAATCTCATACTTGCAGTAATCTATAATTATGATGCAATAGCTGCAGTTTGTGGTACCTTTAGGCATGGAGTAAAGCTGCAAGTAACGATCGTGGAGGCTCTTATTTGCGGCGTTTGCTTTTCTTTGATTCTTTCCTCCTTTTCTCAGATTTGTGTTTTGACTTATGGTCCTTGCTATGCTGCTTGTGTGAACTTCTTTTCGACCGTTTTCGCCGATCACTGTCTGAGTCCTCTTCAGAAGAGCCATCTGACCTCAGAGAATTAGGCTTCTCTGGCCCATATACAACATGTTTATCTGTAACATTGGAGCTTGTTGGCCAACTCAAATGTGTTTCATTACAAGGGGCAAGGTATGGACCAGTTTCATCCATTCGTGACCCAACTGCGCCTCTCCCACGCTTAGTCCTGCCACAAAATGAGAAAACTGATGTCAAGGTCAAGCCACTAAAAGCGTTCTAGAGTAATTGTAATCCCAGTCGCATTTTAATTGAAGCATCTCGCTGACGAACAAACAATCATGTATTTCCTAGAAGAACACACAGAGAGAGATACCTTGAGTGTAAAAATTCCTCAAGTTCTTCATCTTTTAATCCTTGATTCTCCCTCAAGTCGCAATCCTCATAATCTCTTTTACTAGATGGGCTTGAACTACTGGGAATGTCATGACTGAAATCTGTGGATGGTTTGAAGCCCCTGCGGCTCCCAGAGCCATTGTTCCCCTCTCTTGACTTGCCTCTAAGCCTGTCATCCAGTTCGAGCTCCTTTTGACGAACTCTCCACATTTCATTCACTTCGACAGCCTTGTTTGCTGTAATAAAAAAAACATATATATCAGCTTGAAGCAACAAAAAGGCAACTATTCAAATAGAATGCACTCCTCAAACCCCAAACAAAAGTACAGAAAAGGCCAGTCATTGTTTGATTGCAATATTCGAAGAAAACCATAAAACGCCAGGAGAGTATATAGCAATAGGGTTCGTATCATCAAACATAAAGAAACGAAAATGTTAGAACATGAATTGAACAAATGACCTTGTTGTACGCCAAGAACAGTTGCAGTCAGGAAACGAGAATTAGGACGACCCCTGACTTTAGGATGCCGTAGATAGGCATCCACACCATCTTTCTCAGCTTGGCGACGCAATTCTGACGCCTCTCTCATTAGAATAGCAGCTACTCTATTTTCTGTCTCAAGATCCATTTTAGTCACCTGAGCATGTTCGTTAAAAATGTAAGTATCTTCACCATTCAAACCAACGAATATAATAACATGGTCAAAGCAAAAAAAAAAAGATAAATTTCACAATGTAGCCAGGTGTCTTACATAACAACTAGACATGACATACAAATATACAATCAGTTTTCAGACCAAAACCTACGTCTTCAAGATCTACGATGACCAATTTAATTGCCAACCGCTTGGAACTTCACACTGTTCGCAGTATGAAAATGAAAATGTTCGTTCTTCCACCTCGTTTTTCTATAGTCAGCTACCCACTAATCCGTTGGAACAGTGTTTTTCGCGTGGTTGAATCGGAGAAAGAAGAAAACATAACGAAAGAAGAAAAAAGAAATTGACCGGATCAGACTTCCATGGCAAGCAATCGAGAATAGAGGGGCTGCGGCCGAAAACACGGTTGGCGTGAGGGGAGATCAGAAGAGAAGAAATAAGAAGTGCCGTGGGTGAGGGAGCGTGCTGGCGACCAGCGGAAGATAGCGATAAAGAGAAAAGAAGATATCAGAGATCGATGAGTACATGCTGCTGCTAGGGAGCGAGAGAGATAGAGGAGAGAATAAAAATTCATGAGTTCCAAACAAAATTAAGAAATTTCAAATAATTTCCTTCACATTCTAGAGATGCCAAACAAAGCATTAGTAACACTGATTCTACTGCTGAAATTAATGCTATCGTTAACAGTCGATCAAAGACCCAACAGAAAATCTCAAAATTGCAACTCAGAATCAGGGTTTAGAAGCCAAACTTTACCGCTGCAGCACTCTTCAGCAGAGTCTTCTGATTGTTAGTCCTCAAACCAATGAATCAAAGAACCGCAATCAGCTTTCTTCTGTGGAAGAAGCCCTCGATATCAAAGAAGAACCGAAACAGACGACGGTTGCAGGTGAGGAAGAACAAATGAAATTGAAGTGGCAGAAATCGAACTCGATCTAGACGGTGAGGATGGCGAAGATTTGCCCTCGCGCGTCGTCCGACTGGCAATTGAACGAACTCAGAAACCCTAGAGAATCGATCAAGCCGATCTCTGAGATTGAAAAGCGGAGAGGGGTTTCGATGCTAGATTCCTGCGGGCCTGGCCTCTTTTCACGAATCCGACGTGTTCGTTTCCGCCTCGCGTTAGAAAGAACATAATAGGATTTTACAATTTAAAAAAAAAATATAACAAATTTTATAAATTTTTATTAAAAAAATACTTTTAAACTTTTTAAAATAAAAATATATATATACATTTAAACTTTTTTTTAAGTAAAAAAATCCTTTTATATTCTTTTTTAAATAAAATAATCTTCAAAGAAGTTCAAAATGCATAAACTCCTTTCATAATTAATATATATATATATACATTTAAACTTTTTTTTTAGTAAAAAAAAAAATTCTTTTAAAAAGTAAAAAAAAAAATATATTTAATAAGAAGTCTAAACCTATGTATAAAGGTATTATTGAAAGTTTTGAACATCTTAATCTTATAATATGTCCATAGCTAGCAGATATTGTTCTCTTTGTCTTATTACGTATCGCCATTAGACTCACGGTTTTAAAACACGTGTTCTAATAAGAGGTTTTCACACCCTTATAAGTAATGTTTTGTTATTCTCTCAAACCAATGTAGGATCTCACAATCCACTTCCTTTGGGTTCAATGTCTTTACTGACACACCATTAGATATCTAGCTTTAATATCATTTGTAACAACCCAAGTCCTACCCCGACTAATGCTCACAATCCACCCCTTTTGGGGGTCTAGCATCCTCGCTAGCATATCATCCGATGTTTAGGTCTAATATCATTTGTAACAGCTCAAGCCCTACTTCGACTAGTGCCTCACACCATCCCGGTGACTAGCTCTAATACCATTTGTAATAGCCCAAGCTCACTAATAGTAGATATTGTTTGCTTTGACCCATTACTTATGACTGTCAGTCTCACGGTTTTAAAACATGCCTACTAACGAGATGTTTCCGCAACATTTTAAAGAATGTTTTGTTTCCCTCCCTAATTACTTTACGTTTTAACACACTAAGTACAAAATTTAAATCGGTGAGATAAAACTATTTGGCAATGTTTTAAATTACTTCATATATTTATTATCCATATAATATACTATGAATTTTATCATTTAAATTATTGAAATTAATTTTAATTAAAAATATTCAATGGTATTATTTGCTCCTTAATAATATTAACTAAAAAAAAAGACAAATTTACTTATATTTTAGTAATTAATTAAAGTAATTCTAATTAGTTTACTTTAATTTTATTAGGATAATTTGAAAAAGTATAGGGTTTGTGCGCTTAAAAAGCCGGCAACTTCGAAGAGTTCCTCATATTACTCAACCGAACACATTTCTTGTACGAGAAAAAATGGCAGCTATGCAGAATTTGTCTTCATCTCCACTTTCATCGTCTTCATCTGATTTCTTTCGCGTTTCAACTTCGATGTCAAGTACTTCTTCTTTAATCTCTGTTTCGTTTTGTTCTTGTTTTACATCAATCCTGACACTTCACTGTTTGTCATGTTTCATTGCTTAGATTTATCGTGCAAACTGTCTCGTTTATGCTACAGGAATCCGACGGTATCGTTGCCGAGAACAAGTTCCGGCGTTTGCAAGTGTGTTGCGACGTCTCAAGATTCCAAAACCGGTATTGTAGAAATGGCAGATTGTTTGTGCATGTATAGATAGATATATGAAACTTCAATTTAAAACTTATCTTGCAATGCCAGTTGATGAAAGAAATGATCTCCATGTTTTGATAACTGTAACAAGAATGAAAACTTAGCTGCTTCTATTTCATCTCCTTATTGGCGTTCTGTTGTTTTTTCTGTTCTTAAGATTACAAAACAGCTGTCTCTAGAAATGCGAACATGGCCAAACTTCAAGCTGGCTATCTATTTCCTGAGGTGCGTGTTGCATTTTGCTCAAGGTTTAGCACTTTGTTATTGATGAATTCGATGCTCCAGATTTTTTGTTTTCTTTTCATCTGCTAATTTCGATGTCATCGCTGTGCATTGGTTGTAGCGGTAATAGCTTATGTGTATATCCAATAATAGATTGCAAGGAGAAGGAATGCGCACTTGCTAAAGTATCCTGATGCGAAAGTAATTAGCCTTGGAATTGGTGACACCACTGAGCCTATTCCCGAGGTAATTACGTCGGCCATGGCAAAGGTACGAATCGCAACTCTCAAATCCCTGATTATGGTTAACGCAACTCTCAAATCAGACGAAATGTTAGAATGATTGGCCAATCTGTTGAACGGTAGTTTTAGGTTTAGGGATTATGTAATTTGTATGAGAAGAAAGGTTGGTCATAATCTTTATAATATTTAACTTAAACATCATGATGGAAATATGGACCTTGCCTGTGATCGGTCTTGTCTTTCGTTTGGTCCGATCATTTTTACTTGGAACAGACTCGTCTCTTCTATTATCGGCTCACTAAAGTAGTAACACTGCATTGCCATCTCATTCGCATTGAAATTAGTATGTTTTTTCTTACGCATATGCATGTAAAGTTTGGTCTCATTCAATTGAATTTTATGCGATTTTCAGAAACTCTTTACAAAGGTTTATGTTCTATGAAAAAAAACTATTCTATGGTGTCCAATTTACACATTAAATTTGTCTTCAACTGCATGCATTGAATTGGTGGGCTGCTCTGGAGTTGTTTTCATGCCAGAAGATAAGAGCCTCCTTGCGACCATACACCTTATATTATTATGCATTTTGGGCCAAACAACTGTTACTAACCCATTTTTTACTATCCTGTTCCTTTCTTTGGCAGAGATCACATGCACTGTCTACACTGGAGGGTTACAGTGGCTACGGAGCTGAGCAGGGCGAAAAGGTATACTACAATTCAGTTCCTGAAAAACTATTACTCGTGCTGCCTTTTTAAGTGAAGTTGTGCATTTGACATCTTATGCTGAAGTTTCTCGTATTTGGAAAAACTTCTGAAGTTCAACACCTCCCACACACAAACTAACAAAATAGAAGAAAGATTATCTAACAAAAAGAGAACCGAGGAGAAGAAATAAGAGACGTCCGAAAGTTTGTCAGCGGAGGTGGAGAGCTTATATTCTATCCAGAATCTGCCTTAAAGTTTCCTGGATTTGTGTAACTTAACATTCAGGTTTTGTAGTTAGTGATCTTCCCTGATCAGTGAAATTTGGGTATAAATTGTGAGAAAATCCAAGCCACTCTTTTGCTCACTTTGTTTTGGTTTAGGTCCGGCAATGGTTTTCTCGATATGACATGCCTCTTTCATCAAGCTGTGCTCTCTGGCAATGATTTCTTTCAGAAATTTTTGCCACCTTAATGCTCGTTTAATTTCAAATTAAGTGCTGTCAGTAACTTGTTCATACTTAGTGAAGTATAGTAGTAATAGCTGCCTTATTGTGTTAACAAGTGTTCCACATCATTTTCGAATTGACTTGATGATTTGACTTTTCTTGGATCATATCTTCCCATGATTGAAATTTCTAATTTACTTGTTCATTTGTATAGCCAGTGCGAGCTTTAATTAGCAAAACATTTTATAGCGACCTTGGCATAGGAGAAGAAGATATCTTTGTTTCTGATGGTGCAAAATGTGACATAACACGCCTTCAGGTATAGTTTCAAACTTTTTTATTCAATTTTTTTATGTTAGTCATTCAACTTAGTTAAATATATAAAACACCTTCGGCAATCATTTATGCCTGTCATCTTGTTACTATTGAACTTTTCTTCCCACTTTTGGCAGCTTGTTTTTGGATCCAATGTGTCGATGGCAGTGCAAGACCCATCATACCCGGTGAGTTGCTCTTCACGTTAGTGAAAAATGTAGTTATTGCTTTTTTTTTTTTTAAGTCGCTTTAGCCCATGGATAAGTTCACTTCAGCTCAAACAATAAATAATACTTCAATTTGGTTATTGCTTCTTTTTTTTTTTCTTTTTTTTTTTTTTTTTTTTTTTTTTTTTTTTTTTTTTTGAAAAAAAGAATTTAGAGAATATATTTGAGACCATTACTTTTGTTACTCTAGGTAATTATGTGGTAACATCGAAAGGCATGCGTTGTTTAGGCTGTAAAACTTCATACCAACCTCTGCCGGTTTGAATTCTAATCATGAATTTGTGGAAATGTAGGCTTATGTGGACTCGAGTGTCATCTTGGGGCAGACTGGACTGTACCAAAAGGATATTGAAAAGTACGGCAATATTGAATACATGAGGTGTACTCCAGAAAATGGATTTTTCCCTGATTTATCCAAGGTTTCCCGGACAGATATCATATTTTTCTGTTCACCAAACAATCCTACCGGCTCTTCTGCAACTAGGGAACAATTGACCCAACTGGTGGAGTTTGCTAAAAAGAATGGGTCAATTATAGTCTATGATTCTGCATATGCAATGTATATATCAGACGATAATCCAAAATCTATCTTCGAAATTCCTGGAGCCAAGGAGGTAAATTTCATTAAGATTACTTTTTCGATTCTGAACTTAATACTATTAGATTTACATTTTTTGGTCATTTTATTCTAATTCCATCGCTATACATTTGTGTCAGTTTTTAGTATTTCAAAGTTCAAATATGCATCTCTGGTTACCCTATTGTTATGTATAGCTCCACTATATTGCTTGGATTCTCTTGTTTATGTCCTGTGACGGTCTGGTCTCATCATTAGATTCCAATTTTATCATTCAGAAAGCCTAATAAGAGCTTGCGTACATGTGTTATTTAATGCAAGAAAAATCAAATAACGGCAATTCTCTTGCTAAATATGAAATTGCGTTACTATTCTTGAAAATCAAAATGTTATTGGATCCAACCATCCACGAATCTGCAGACTGGAGTAAATTCACAATGCTTGATGAGAACATGTAGACTTACTAGGTCATTAGCTAAATGTAGGAATAGCTGGCAGAAGACTTTTCTCTCAAGATACTTTTGCTAGAATGTCCCCGAAATTGGAACATTAATGTCCGAAGCATTAGTAAGGAACGGGGGTGACATAGAGTAGGAAATCAGTTATGTCCTTAGGGAGGCTTGACATTATGTATCATAAGAGATCTTGTATAACAGCCCAAGACCACCGCTAGTAGATATTGTCTGCTTTGGTCCGCTACGTATTGCCGTTAG